GGTTTCCATGACAAACGAGAATGTCTGGTTACACAGACCTGTCCTGCACCATGTTCCTCATTGCCCAAAGCCTAGCAAGGGCTGCTTCTTAGACAGAACAGTGCCCACCATGCCCCACAGGTACACCTCTCCCTGTTGTTGCCCCAACCTTGATGCCGGTGAAACTGCTTTTGCGAAGATTATGACAGTGAGAGAAGTTGAATGTGACTGATTTCGTCTTGCTTCTAGCCTCACAGGCTGGCTGTCTTTGCTCATCCCTAGGTGTAGGACAAGCTAACCATATGAGGAATTTAGTTTATAGTTTAACTTTGAAGCAAGGATGATAACAGTCCCTCCCCAAAATGAATTCCCTCGTTGTTTGGGGGCTGAAACTGCCTTTGTAAGACTAATGAAAAGCCATAAGATTAAGATTATGGGAGGGACGTGAATTCTGCTAAAATGTAGGTATAGTTTCTCTAATTCCTTATTGCTCAGGAGTCATGTGGTCAGAGGTCACAAGAGTTGTGACTTCCCCAATTGCTTCTGTAGGTAACAACACTATTGTAGAACCTAAAATTGGTCTTTTGAGATGTCTTTCAGACTTTTACATTCTTGCAACTGACTGACACCACCCAGACTCATGACTTCACCTGTCCTGTGTTTTCCATCTAGAAACAAACTCAGTGCATGAGGACTATTTTCTACGTTCCTATGATTGCATCCACAAACAATCAGCAGCACCCACCCCTTCCCAACCTGCCTACCAAACTATCCTTGAAAAAACCTAAACTCTGAGTCTTCGGGGAGATTGACTGGAGCGATAACCCTGGTTGTTCTACATGGCTGGCCTCACATTAATGAAAGGTTTTCTTTGCTGCAATACCAGTCTCAGTGAATTGGTTTTTTCTGTGCAGCAGGCAGAAAGAATCCATCAGGCAATTACAGTGGGATCAGCTGCCACTTGTTTCCTGGCCAGCTCACTCATTTCCATCAGTTGCCTGGCTCTTGCAGACATATGAGCTTGTAACCCCTGAACACCAAGCAAATATTAAGGAAACAAGAGGTATTCCATAATGATGGCAATGATGGTGATGGTGGTGAGTTGAAGGTGGGTTGGAGCTCCACCGTTTTTTTTTTTTTACTATATACTCTTGAAGCTTTCCCAATCTAGCTTTTATCTCCACTGCTCTACCAAGATGTCCAGTGGTAAATTCTCTGTGCACATCTTACTTCTCAGCAGCATTTGACATAGTTAATCACCTTCTGCTCTTGCAGGTGCTCTTCCTACACTTTCTTCACTTGAATTCTGTACCATCTTATGCTCTTGGTGCATATCCTCTCACTGCCCACTCTTTCTCTATCGCTTTTGCTGGTTTCTACTCCTTTACTTATTCATATAAAAATTAATGTGTTTGTAGGGCTCTTTCTTGATTTATCCTTTGTATTCTATCCTCCACTTTCTCCCTTAAGAGATCTTATTTGGTCTTCTAACTTTACATACCCTCTGCACAGTGACAACTCCCAAATACTTACCTTCAGCTTTTAACTTCTCCATGAACTCCAGATTGCTTTCTCTACATTTGCTTGCATGTACTAAAGGACTATTAAATATCACATATACAAAACCGAACTCCTGGTTTCAATTCACAAAGCTTCTTTTCTCCTAGCATTTAACATTTCAATAAGTATTTAATTATTTCAGTTGTTCAGGTAAAAAATATCAGAACGGCTCCAGAGTATATATTTTTTCCCTCTCATCCATTCTATATATCCACACATCCTCATGGCTCTCTGTGATCGTTAATTTCATGTGTTCACTTGGCTAGGTCATGGTGCCTAGTTGTTTGACCAAAGAACAAAATAGATGTTGAAGGTATTTTTTTTAAAATATATGATTAAAATTCACATCAGTAGACAGTGAACAAGGCAGATTACCCTCTATAATGTGCGTGGGTCTTCCCACCAACTGATTGGGGGCCTTCCAATCAGTTGAAGGCCTTAAGACCAAAGACTGAAGTTTTCTGAAAAAGAAGAAATTCTTCTCAAGAATTCTTGACTGCAACATGGAAAATTTGTGTGAGCTTCTATTCTAGTCTGCTGCTCTGTGGAATTTGGTCTAAAGTCTGCAATAGCAACTCTTACTTGAGTCTCCAGCCTGTTGGCCTGCCCTGTGGATTTCAGATTTGCCAACCCTCACAGGAGCCGATTAGTTAATTTTTTTTCCTCTTTCTTTATCTTTATCAACTTTTATTGGTCCTGTTTCTGCGGAGTACCTTGACTAATACACCCTTATTTCAAAATATGTCTAATACCTAAACTCTTTTCATCACCTCTACCAGTAGCACTTTGGTTCAATCCATTATCATCTCTCTGCTGGATGTTACAATTGCTGCATATCTGGAGTTCCATCTATAGCCTGTAAGCCAGGCTGAGCCTTTACAACCAGAGGTCATTCATGTTACTCTTCTTTTTAGTGTCCTCCATTGGCTCTTACCTCATTCAGAGTAAAAGCTGAAGTCCTTAGATGACCTCTAAGGCCCTACACCGTTTGGTCTCCTGCTGCTTTCTCTGACTTCATCTCTGTGCCCTTGCCTGCCTCACTAGCCTTCAGCCACACTTCCTTTAACATGCTAAGCAAGTTGCTACTTCAGGGCCTTTGCTCCTGCTGGAAATTTCTTTGCTCTAATCAATTCATCAGGCTACCCAGGAGCAGAACAGCACTAGTTTCTTGCATCTTAAGGGAAGCCATGACTTCATCCAGAATGGACTATTCATTTAAGACCTGCCATAATGTGTGTCTCAGCCAACTGCCTAGGGTGTCATCTCTGACAGATGGCCTGGGATCCTTTCAGTAGTTGGTTTTGATCATTTATAGTCTGATTGTTGTTGTACCTGTGTAAGAGTGGTGTGCAGACCAGCCAAGGAGCAATGATAAGTCTACACATCTGTCAGCATGTGTAAGTTAGAGCATGGGACTTCTCATCACTGTCTGATTTTCATGCACATCCCAGTTTTAAGTGATTGTTTTCTAAAGAAACTCTTGTCCTTTCATTGTGGGCCCAAGAAAACATTCTAATTCATACTCAAAAACACTGTGCTTCGGTAAGGGAAACACATGAGAAACTGTATGGGAAGTAGATACTTTAAATAGACCTGCACAGAGAAAACATCCTGCCCGGTGGCAATGTGATCAGAGACCCCATCCCTCCTGCACTCTACTCCCCACTCCAGCTCTCATCTCTTTGCTGGATGTTACAATTGCTGCATATCTGCATACCTGGTCATATCAAAGCCCAGGGTCTTTGCGTAAATGGTTAGCTGGCTCCAGAGATTTCACTCCTTCCTGGGCCTTTCTCATTGTGTGTCCTAGCAGTCATGGGAGAACCCACAATGTATCCCATGTATCAGAAACGTGATCCTTCTGGGCTGTGGAATCAACTAGACCTGGCTCAGTCTTGACTCTGACATTCATAAATGGTGGAAGAAGGGAAGGAGTTGGACAAGTTATACACTCCTCTTTATCTGTTTCCTCACTTACAAAGTAGAAATGATGCCTACATTATGGGGCTGTTACGGGATTTGAATAGAATAACGTACAGTGAGAGCCTGGCCCACAGTAAACATTCGGAAACTGTGTCTCAGGATGAGTAAGCATGAAGATGACAGTGGCGCTTCAGAGACAGGCTCAAGACCCTGTCCTCTGGGGCTGGGCTGGTGTGTGACGTGGATACTCCTGACCTCCGGTGGGACTGACCCCTAGGCCATTCTTCACCTGGTCACCCAACTGCTCCTCTCAGAATATAAACTTGATTGGGACGCTGCCCTCCTTAAAATGTTGGTGATACTGACCTCAAGTTCAGCCTCCAAAGAGCCTGCAACACAGGCCCGGCAGGACTCCACCTTCTCTTGGCTCACACCTCCTATTCCTTGGGCCTTTCACTAGGGTCCTCTCACCACTTTGCTCTAGGCGTGAAGGAAACATTGGATGAGCAGTGCTCTTTGAGCTTGGTTGTTAGAGTAGTCATGCTTCCGTCCAGCCTTGCTGGCATTCAGCCATATTTTCTCCATCTCCTTTGCAAGATCTCATGGGAGGTTTTCTGAAATTTAGCCACAGTATCAACTGGATTCCCCTGCTCCACTGCCTATCTGAAATGGGAAAGAGGTTAGTCTGGTGGGACCAGTTTTGCATGCATACCTATAGTCTTGTTGTATTTTTTTTTGTTTTATTTTTAATTGACATATAATAATTCTACACATTTATAGGCTAGAATATGATATTTCAATGTATGTATATATTGTGTAATGATCAGATCAAGGTAATTAGCATATCCAGCATCTCAAACATCATTTTTTTTTTGTGGTGAGAACATTCAAAATCCTCTCTTCTATGTTGAAATATATGATACATTATTATAGTTCCCCTACTGTGCAACAGAACACTAGAACTTACTCCTCCTATGTAACTCTTACCTTGTACCTATTGACCAACCTCTCCCCATCCTTTAATGTATTTGGTTCTCCATCCCCTCACCTGTAAAACGCTGGGCTTCAAACGCTGGGCTTCATCAGGTGATCTCCTGGATTCTTTTCCTGCACACTAGTGAGGAGCTGGCTCATTGATGCTGCTAGGTCGAAGTGAAATGCTGCACCCACAGCTCCAACTTTATCAGAGAGCCAAGGGAGGCCTTTGCAGAGAGAGACTGGGTGGAGATCACTGTAAAGGGGTGGCAGGCCGGTCAGTGTGGGCCAAGTCAGTCAGGGAGGGAGAAAGCCAACAGCAGTCTTGATCTCTGGGATGTTCTCTGCCCTCCTCCCCCGCCCTGGCTGCCCCCACAAGAACCAAACTGTGTATCTCAATCCTAGAATGCGAGGAATGTGCTGCAGGCTGATAGGCATGAGGCGATCTGCTGAGAGGCAGGGAGGAGCCCTGTTCTCCAGGCCTGACAGTGCAAGAGCTGTGGGCCTGCAGGCTGGGCTAGGCTGCCCCTCCCACCCTCCCTGGGCCTCCTGCTGTAGCCGGGATATCAAAGGCTGCATTGTGCATTGAGCAGGCCTCGGTCCCTCGTGTGCCAGGGAGGAGGCGGGAGGAGGGACACCGTTGGGAGGCTGTCCCTTGCAGCACTCTTCTGGCCGGTGTTCTCAAGGGCCTCGGCCGGGGTAGGATGGTATACACATGGGTGGCTGCTTCTGCATCCCCAGGGAGCGGAGTCTGACCCGGGGCCCAGGTGAGTTTCCCAGGGGGCCCTTGGCCTGTGGCTTGGCCAAAGTGGATGGTCCAGTGGAGGCTCAGGGACCTGCTGGGTTGGGGAAACTTTTCTCCCAAAGATGGGGAGATGGTTGTGCTTTCTGGCTGCCTCTCCTTCCTCCCTGGGTGTTTGTCATGCTGGCTCTGTAAAAAGGGAGTAAAGCCTGGAAGCATCTATTTTTTTCCTGAAGAAAGAGGCTTTGAGTTCGCCCTGTCAGAAGCTGAGCAGCACTGCTCCTGGCTGCCACTCCCAGGGTGTGACTAAGCCCTTCCTTCCTTTCTTCCCGAGATCCCCCAGGACAGGAAGAAAGTTCAGGCAGTGAGTTCCTCTGTGGCCTATAGGTGGTCATAAACTTGGCCTTAGTCATTCAAGCCTATTTTTGTCAGGGTTGCTGTTACTGGAGAAAAACAGGCAGTTTCCTGCCTCCACCTATTACAGTGTGATTTGTGTGTGAGTGTGTGTGTGAGTGTGGGCATCAAGTTGAGGAAATGGAGAGTTGTTGCTCTAAAAAATTGTCAAGTCGTGGGAGAGTAACTTAGGGTGACCAGCCATTATGGTTTGCCTGGGACTGAGGAATTTGCTGGGATATGTCAGTTCCAGGCCAACCAGGCTGGTTGGTTTCCCTGAAGCAACCTTCTTCTTTTTCTCAGAGGAGAATGAAGGTAGGGCACTGTGTTCTCTTGTGTGGTGTTTATCAGGATGAGTGGTGGCTTTGGGGAAATGTGGGGGTAGATTGGTGGGGGGAGGCTTGCTTGGGAGATAGGGGAACCTTGCTCCAAGGAATCATTCCTAACCCTTGTTAGAACTGTGTGTCTTCCTGGGGCTCCACCATGGTTCCTGAGAGAAGGAGCTAAGGAGCATCCCCTAGCTGAGGGCTTTCTACTTTCTAACAAACAACTTTCTTCTATAGTCTTATGACCTGGGCTTGTAGAAGGCACTCGAGGTCAGTGAAGTGAACTCAAACAACCATATTCTGCTTCCTCTGCTTGAAGTCTTCATCTAGGCACCTTGGCACCTACAGCAGGGAGTGTCTCCCAGAAAAAGGCAACCTGTGGACCTAAAACTATAAGCAAACAAACCCCAAACGATGCCCTTGGCACAAAAGGCACGACTTAATCTATGAACAATTTCGCTTCTCCAGATTTCTCAGATGTAAACACTTTTCAGTCCCTCCCACTAAGTCCTATTGTCATTGTGCCCCATGAGAGCAGAAACAGCATGGAGGGAGACATGCAGGACCACTGGTCTGGAAGTCGGAGATTGGGGTCTAGATCTGACTTCCTCTAGCTCTAGTTAGGCAGGTGTCATCTTGGCTACTCACTTGGTCTTTGAGGCCAAAGTGTCTGGATTTGATCTTGGTTCTTTTACTTGCCTTGACAACTTATTTAATTCCTCTGTGTTTCAGTTTTCCTTATCTGTAGCTTTTATGACATGATAATGCCTTCTTCATAGAGCTGTGGTGGAGATTAAGTCTGCATGTGAAATGGTGAAACAGCCTGGTGCACAGTTAGTTGAGCACAATAAAATTAACCATTGTTAATTGCATTTTGATGACTAGTATATCTCGCTCTCTCTCTGGGCCTCCATATGGTCATCTATACAATTTTAGGGTTGTAAACTGCAGTGTAGAGGTGTCTCAGAGAGCTCTGCTCATGTTCCCTCATCCTTACCTAGAGCGGCTCTGCTTCTAGTTGACATCTGTCCTTCAGCCAAAGATTTCCTGTAGAACAGAGTTACACAGCTCAAAACAAACAAACAAACAAAAAACAATATTGAAAAAAGTCAAAATCATAATAACACTATCATTCAATTACTTTATTCTTTCACCTTCTTTTTGCCATTGATTGCTGGCTGGCACCTCGGATTCACCTTTTCACCAAGAGTCAGCCTGCTATGTATCTCCCTCGAGACTTTTCATGCCATTCCCCCATATTATTCCCTGTATGTGTCGGGGCCTTTCCCTAGCGAGGTTGATGTGGGTGTTGTAGGTCCAAGTCCAGTTGATCTGGATATTCCCATTCCAGATTCCCCTATTTATCTTAGAGAAAAGGGACAAAGTATGAGACCCATCCTGGAGCAACTTAATTGTTGTGTGACCTTGGACAAGGCCCTCATGTTTTTTGAACCTCAGTTTTCCTGGCTGTAAACTGTATCTAATGGTGGTACTTATCCCATGGAACTTTTGTGAGGATTAAATTGAATAATTCCTCTCACGGACTTAGCACAGGGTCTGGCTTTTGTAACCATTCGGTAACTACAGGCTGTTTTATTGTTAGTTAATATGGACCATTCTTACATCAGTTTCTGCTAATTCCATCCTGGCCTGGAGAAGTCTGTGCTCATGTTTCCTGGGGTGCTTCTGCCTTGTGTCTGTTTAAGTGGGAGCTAACAGCAGACACCAAAACAGTGAGTCCTCAGGGCTAATGGACACAGGAAAGGAGAAGGCTCTTGATAGCACTGAGCACTGGACAGCTGCCAGACTGGTTTGCGTGGAGTGACACAATAATGAACATTGACTCTGACTACTCCAGGCACCTGCATTCTTACGTGTGGACTCTGCCTGCAGCATCTGTTCCCTGGGATGGCTCTCAATTGCTCACATAAGTCCCCTAATTCGGGGGACTGCACATGGTGAGAGGATAGGTTCTGATCCGTTGCTATCATCTCTGACTTCCCCACCCTATCTATAAGTTGTTTCTTGCCATTGTTTAATAAGCTACAGTTGCTCACTTTGGATCACAGAGAAAGCCATGTCAAAGTTTGTTGATCGAAAAGCTTCTAGCACTTCTCCCTTATTTTCAATGCCTGTTTGAAGAAATTTGGCAGATTTATGCCCTTAAACAGAAGATGTGGAAGAGATACATTCACCTCTGTTGATCACTGGTGCTTGTAACTTTCCTTTTAACCTTTTTGATAGATGTGAATCATCAGTATAATAACAAGATATCAAGGGTGAATGCTGACAATAGTAAATGATGCTTCACTTTTGAATTTTAAAAGCCTTGTAAAGCATGTAAAACATACTGATAATAGAGGATATTAGAATAGTTAGCCCACCATTTAGCTGTAACAAATTTTTGCATTATGTCACGTTATCTTCAGAACTTTACCTTTTTCTTTCTCTTACTTTTTGAAGAAATAAAACATCACAAACATATTTAGCGGCCCCTGGATATCTCTTTCCAATCTCATTCCCCTTCTCTCTCCACATAGTTAATAACTTTCATGAATTCAATGGTTATGTGCTTTCACTACATATTCATGAGCTCACAATCATTCCGAAGAATTGTTTTACAGACTTTAAAAGTTAAACAAAATGATATCATGATGCATCTTTTTTTTTTTTTGCTAAACATTATAATGTAAGATATATTCATGTGGGTAGATGTGCTGTACTTCTAACATGCTACTCATCCCAACAAGGAGAAAGTGGTTTACATCATAAAAACTGCTGATGGTAGGTTTGTTAAGTCAAAAAAAAAAAAAAATGTGGGTACAGGAAAAAAAAAACATGCAGAGAAATGTTTACTGTTTAGTCTTCTTTTTAAAGTTGAGCATGGTGGTGGGTGGGTAGGAGCACAGAGAGGCTGAGAGAGGAGAAATGAAGGTGAATTCTCATTTTCAGCAAGTTGTGAGATGTTTCCGTGATCAGAGTCCCGAGACTTTAGAGTTCTGAGGTCAGGTTAATGTAGTGAGAATGGCAAGTCCCTACCCACTGATTTGGATGGCCTCTGGCTCTCTTGCTAACTTGCTGTGCGACCTCAGTAAAATCACGACTCCTCTCTGGGCCTTTCGTTTCTCAACAGTAAAATTGGGAGTGGAACTAGGTGATCTTTTAAATCCCCTCCTTCACTCAGTTTCTGCAATTCTTGCCTCTTCCCCATCTTTATCCCTCATATTCAATATGTCAAGATGCCTTCTCTTTTCTTGTTTTAAAATATAGCCCCATTCACTCTATGCCCTCACTTCTCATTGCCAGGGCCACACCCCACATTCTCACACTCACCTCCCTGGATTTTCACAGCACCTCTTCAGCTGGCTCCCTGCCTATTGTGCTTTTCTCTCCTTATCCTTCCCATGTTACCCAAATAGAATTTTCACTTTTGTTATACCATTGCCATGCTCAAGAACATTTCACATCTCTCCATTGCTTACTGTATCCATTCCAAACACCCCTGCCTGCCTTAAAGTGCTCCCCATCTTGACCCTACCATACTTATCCATTTTAGTCCCACAACTACCCACCTCCCCAGCATGCGCCAGATGGCTTCTACCATCCCATGTGTGTACAAAGCTCATTCCCACCCTATCCTGCTTTCCTCCCACTTATATACATCTGCCAAGAACATAAAAAGCAAGCCATCAACTGGGGAGTAATATCAGAACAAGAATATAAAAAAAAAAAGGCTCTTACAACTCAGTAGTGATAAGATAAATAATCCAATAACAATTGCAAAATGTTGGAATGGACGCTTCAATATAAAAAATATGTGGATGACTAATAAGCATGTGAAAAAGTGATTAACATCATAAGTCATTAGGGAAATGCACATTGAAACAATCAGATAAAATGGCCTACATACTTAGAATGGCCCAAATTAAAAAGACTGATAACATCAATTGTTAGTGAGGATGTGGAGCAACTAGAACTCTCACACATTGCTAGTGGGAATACAAAATATGACAGCCTCTTTGGAAACCAGTTTGGCGGTTTACAAATAAATCTCAATGTTTTTCTGAACTGAGGGTTAGTAACTTTTTCTGATCAATAATAATAAAAATAAAACTAGCTTATATCAAAAGCAATTTATTGATTAATAAATCAAAGTCTAGGTTTTTTTTTTCTTCAGATATTGCTAAATCAAGGTGTTCAGATGATGTTATCAGAAAGCTATCTTTCCTAAGCTCTGTTTTTATGGGTTGGACTCAATGTCAGGTGGGCTTTCTCCTTGTGGTGGGCACCACAGCTCCAGGCTGTC